AATTTCATTTAAAAGTACTGTATGTGACAAAGGTAAGTTTTAAGCTTTGTATTTATATTTTTACTTCAACCCTTCCAATGCGACTCAGAATTTTCAACTAGTTTTTCAGCCAACATAGAGCTCCCATGGAAAACAATTATCTTCAAGCTCGAAGGATCCGTTTTATAGAAAACAACCAACGATAATTTCCTAATATTCATTTTTTAATATTCATTTTTTTCGAACCGTTCGAGTTCTGTGAAAAATCCCAGAAATTGAAACGTTCAATTTCTGTGAATCACGTAAATTTTCCAAATTCCCAGAATTCGAAGCCTTCAATTTCTGTGCATCACGTAACTTTTCGCAAAAATGAAAATCAACAGAAATAATGTAATTAAAACCATATTTTTCATGATTGCGTTGAAATAAAGTATTTCTGGACAAAACAACATCGATTATGACATTGATCAGTAGTTTAGTATTTTCTGTGACGAATTACAGAAATTTGGACCATTTTTGTTTATTCCTTCGAAAATTAAACGTTTTGAAAATCGCTACTTCTTATATCTTTCAGATAGTTGACCTCAAACTACGGGCCCTTCTATTTCTGGTTGTTCCTTTTGACTTCATAAAATCCTGTTTCAGTTCAATTTCAAAAGTATATATTATTTCGAATTATGTTCTCCAAGGAATCCTACCCCGAATCCCTTATTTTTCATCACCCATTGAACTCCGATGCTCACAAAATCCCCGAATTGTGCTCTGTTTTCTTTCCCCTCTCCAATCAATCATTATCGTAACTTGTAGCCATTTCATCTTGTTACCAACTCATTCAATTTATCCGTTTCTTATCATCAAATCCATTTCATTTTTTTTTGAACGAGTGGTTTTTTGAGTCTATTTGAGTTGTATCGCCCTCATGTTGAACAAGTGTATCACTGAAGGAAATCCTTCCACCGAACTCTCTCTTTTTTCTTTTTTTTTTTGTCCATTTTTCCTCCGCAGTGTCTACTGATCAGCAGGAAAGAAAAGGAGAAGAGGAGAGACTGGGCAAAAGGAAAAATGAACAAAAAATAGGAAGATAGTTATTAAGAAAAGTGCTGGAACTTCACTGAGTTCGTCGGGAGCAATTGAAGGAACTTTTTGAAAACTAAGATGAGGCAAATGTGTTCTGATGATAACCAGTCTTACTGTTGACTTCATGCCTAACGCAAATGATTACTCAAAATAAATTCTTCACGTCTTCAATAGTTCATTGAATTCAGTGAGCTAGATCAAGCACAAGATACATCATGACCCTATAGGCGGCTTTGCTGTCTAAAGAACAAAACCACTCCGCCCATTTTTGCACTGCTTTTCATTTTTTATATTCATCTTCAAATTAACTCATCCGTAGTAGACGTCCATCACTAGCTGAAGATCTTCTATTTGTTATTTTTTTTTCAAAAGGTTTGTTTCATAATCCACGAGGAACAGATGACTCAATTTCATCCGATTGAAATCCCGGGGAAAAACCCTTTTGATAGCAAAAAATGATGCTATTTGATAAGATGGGATGAGGGTGTAATTTTGCACAAGTCGATGAATACTCATTTTTTGGAATTTACGGATGTTTCGACTATATTCGAACGACTTCTAACTCTATAATTTTAGAAGATGAATGATTATTACTTTTTGGCACAGTGCCAGTATTCATATTCTGGAAACACTAATTCCCATGATACTTATCAAAAACAACGTAGGATTCATTTTTTATAAATTACATCAGAGACCAAATGAGATATTCTTGGCTTTATTAATATTTTGAATTGGTTCTGAAACACTAAAAGTTGTTTTTTGAAGCCTCACTGCCTTTCTTAATTTTTAACGCTCCCAAAATTAGCCCCACCATAAAAGTCGGCCATAAAATTCTCTCCTTATCCCCTGTTCTAGTTAATGTCCCGATTTCGATCTTTAATTTAAGAAACCTCCAGAATATGAAACAGGAACTCGCCTACAAGGTGAAATTTAAATGAGCACTTTTTATGGGTGGGCTCTTTTCGGGAGCCTTAAAAACCTATTGGGACTGCAAATAAACAAATTTGACTATTCTCAGAAACTATTCAGAATTAACTTCTAGTCTTTCTTTCTGATCTTCGTTTTATAACTGATCAAATACAGAACATAACAACGTATCATCAAGATACCAATTAGCCTTCTTCTTCTTCTCCTGTGAGAATGTTTTCCCACGGGTTTCATCTTCATAGACATCCTAAAAGAATCAGACACACAAAGCAGAAAAAAATCGAGAGACCTATAAAAACTACCAAGCTTCAAAACATGGCATTCATTTCTACGATATTCTGTTTGTCAAATGAATAAGGGTTACTTTTTTAAAATTTTGTAGTTGTAACTGATAGTAAACTCATAAATTTTGTTTATTTGGACAATGATAGGTAATAAAAATATTTTTAGATTTTGAATATTTATTTCTGATGAAAAGAAGAATAAAAACGAGGTAAGCAAACAGCTGTTTAGAAATTGTGATTTCTAAAAATAGGAAACATTTAAGAAAAAGTCAGAATAGTTAAAGAGGACTCCAAATAAAAATTGTCCAATTTGATGTATTTTTCTAAAGATATCGCTAAAAAATCCTTTTAAAAAATCCGAAATTCTCGAAAACCGCCGTCGAAACCACAAACTTAACTTCAAAAAGTAGGACGAGGATTTGAATACCCGCGCAGAGGAACCTAGGCCACGGCTGCGAGACTTCTTTCAAAAAATTTGTGGTCAAAGTCCCCGAATAGGCATGTTCACCATTCCTTACATCTGATACTTTAAAAATCAAATTGTTATGCCTCATTGTTTCAGCCGACAGTACGCCAAAATACTTGACATTAATGTGACATCAGCAAAAGTGCAAGGTCCACTTTGCTTGTTTTTTGTTCATCGCACAGGAGGCATCATCCTGCTCTTTTTCTCCACACTAAACTCCGCCCACAAATTGTTCAAACAGATACCCACACTCCTTCTTCTTCTTCTTCGTTTGCTTCCTCTTTTTTCCTTTATGTCTCAGGACCCCAATTTTATTAACAAAGTCCAGTCATACTTCCGTTTGAAGGCATAAAGATTTCTTTCGATTCTCAATTTTTATAATACACTTCCGTTCCACTAATTATTTCTTTTTTATTCAGTTGGGAGTTCCTTATAAAATCCCATATGTAAAAGTATACGCCCACTTTAACTGTATAGTGTTTTTAAAGTTTTATTTTTCTCTGCTTTTCCTTATCATTGATTCTTCTGTGTCCATACAATCAAAAAATAATTATGACGGCAATCAAATAATCTGATTATTTATGGACACAGAACTCCCCACTATTTCATTGATTATTGGGAAATTATTACCTCATTTCCTTATTCATTCTTGAAATTCTGAAAGTTCTACTTCCAGACACCCGAATAAGATCTACACGTCATCCCTTCAACATGACGTCCGCCTCACTGGCAGGCATTTCAATATCACCTATAATGCCTACTGAACATCTTCTAGAAGGAACAATGGCTCCAGTTGGAAATCAGCCACTGGATATTACACTTGCATTCATATTCTCTACAATTTCAGTCATCGGTGTACTTGGCAACCTTTTAGTCATCACTGTGGTTCTTAAAGTCAGAGGAATGGTAATAATTCATTATTAGCCAGTCTGAAAATGTCTGAAAATGTTTCTTATTTCAGAAAACTCCGACGAATTGCTATTTAGTTTCTTTGGCAGCCAGTGACACATTGTTCTTTTTCGCTTCATTGCCTCACGAAATGATGTATCTTCTCTTTCCCAGTGATAATTATTTATTTGGAAAATTAGGTAAGAATCTGAAATTAGAAATCGAAAGTTCATAGTCTGCTGCTTCCACTGTGTTTGCTGGTCACTCTTTATCAATAAAATTGAAGAGACTGACCACGACTAGTGGTTGCGGGGGTTGATTGACACTGCGAATTCCAGGAGAACTTATTTTTAGAGAGAAAGCGGAGAGTCGGGGTAAAAATATAATTTTAGTTTTCTGAAAGTTTTGTCTGAAAGAAAGTAGCTATTATTAGTAAAGGAAAAGGGAAGTGTATAGTAGAGGGAATGCTTGAAAACTTTATTTTTACATTCGAATTTTCAAAGTAAGATTTAAAGGGGGACTCCGACCAAAAATTTTTATTGCATTAAAATGTGTTAAAAGTTATCTATTTTCCGGATATTATTGCGAAAAAATTCAAAAAAAATCCGAAATTCCCAAAAAACGCCGTTGAAAAGGAAGAAAATTCAAAAAAAGGTGCCTCCGGGGGACGAGGATTTTCAGTGAGAAACCTAGGCCACGGCAGCGGGCGCCTTTCCTATGTGGCAAATTTTCCGGATTTTTTTCAAGTTCATGTCCGGCAGGTAAAAAACGTAAAAAACCACTGTCGGCGACTTGAAAAAAAGGCTGTCAGGTGCCGTGGCCTAGGTTTCTCACTGAAAATCCTCGTCCCCCGGCGGCACCTTTTTTTGAATTTTCTTCCTTTTCAACGCCGTTTTTCGGGGATTTCGGATTTTCTTTGAATTTTTTCGCAATAATATTTGAAAAATAGATAAATTTTAACACATTTCAATGCAATAAAAATTTCTGGTCGGAGTCCCCCTTTAAAGTAAAATGTTGTATTTCCAGTTTCTAAAAAGGAATCGCAAGACATTACATTTTTAGATTTTTTCACATACTGCAAAATTCTAAAATTCTAAAATACAGTGAATCACCAATTTCAAAAATCTATTACATCTTATATATCTACTACACACTTCCATTAAAATTTTCTCTTATTTTCTGTGAAACCTCTAATCAGTTTTTTTTACACAACGAACGACGGTTTATTATCGGATTACAATACCAATTCTCGCTATTTTTCAAACATCAACATCGCATTTCCATGAACATTTTTTCAGGATGTGTTCTTCTGACCTACCTACCTTATTTGGCCATGAATACATCAAGTCTCTCGATTCTAGCATTTACAATTGAGCGATATTATGGAATTTGCAATCCATATAAAGCCAGGTATTTCAAATTGAGCCATCACTTCGAAAGTCTGAAATTTCAGAACCATGTGTACTGTGAAACGCGCGACGTTCATCATCGCCGGTATCTGGGCCTTCTCAATGATTTATCACTCTTATTGGCTATTTTTGGCCACACTGATTAAAGATGATATCGGAACATCTTGTAGTTTTCGATTGGAGAGGAATAGTAATGCGTACAAGGTATTTATAAATTATACTGATTTTGTATTAAATCCAGATATTTTCAGATAGTGTTCCTTCTAGATTTCGTTCTGTGGTACGTGCTGCCGATTCTGTGCGACATCATCATTTACGCTAAAATCGGTATCACTTTGAGTCAATGTGGAGATAAGATTAAGAAATCGGTGAAACCGAAAAGTAACCTAAGCTTAATTTTTTGTTTTCCTACAAATGAATTTTAGAAATTTCAGTCTCAAACGAGGTGATCATCGAGAAGTCAAAGACATCCTCCACTTCAATGGGACATTATTCCGGAAGAGATTCTCATATTTCTGGTAAACGGAATTCGACAAGAGGAAAGAATCAGGTAGGATCATTTCCTCTTCTTCTTCTTGTTTATGTATTCCTATTCCTTCCAGGTTGTCAAAATGTTGGCGATCGTTGTTGCAGTTTTTGCAATTTGTTGGCTTCCGTATCGTGGAATGGTTGTATACAATTCATTTGTTTCCGATCCAAAGTATTCATGGAGTCCCGATTGGTACATTAATCTATCGAAGACACTTGTATTCATCAATTGTGCTATTAATCCAATACTCTACAATTTGATGTCTGCAAGATTTCGGGCTGCATTCAAGTCACTGTTGTCCAAAAGGAAGAATTCAGGATTTAAGAGTGAGTAGAAGACAGAAGCACTATCTGAAGTCAATAAAACTGTCAAAAACAAAGACTTTAACGGAAAGTCACTTCTATACTTGCATTTTGAGCTCAATTATAATCAAAACTCTAATAGAAGGCCATTCAAATAGTCAACTTTGAACCAATATGTCTCGGATCCTGTGAAAGATATGAAAAAGTGGGCAACTAACAAAATGTTTATGACAAAAATATTTTCTCAGCGGACTACTTTCTGATATCTTTTACATCAACCGAGATATGGAAGCTCAAAATTGGCATTTTGGATGGACTTCCATTAAAATGTTTACAGTAATTGAGCTCAAAGTATAGTAGATATCGTTTCCAATAAGTCTGGAGCGTACAAAATGAAGAACAACAAAAGGGATAAGACGCAACAAAAGGGATAAGATGTTCTATTCAGTAGTTCTAAGGTGGAACTTCTGACCAAATCTGATTGAAGTACTGTAGAGCATGTAATAGGCACCGTAGCTTTTAACTTTGAGCCAATTTTTTTTCGGTTCTCGGCAAGCATATCAAAAAGTCTTCAATTGATGAATTGTTTATCATAATATCTAAAATGTTTTGTCAATTGACTCATTTTCGATATCTCGCATAAGAATTGAGATAATTGAGTTCAAACTTGACAGGTTTTCAGGTATTTGATAAACTTATTTAGGAGCAATACCGTAATCCTATGATCAATTATATCATTTCAGCTACTGCTCTCAGTCACCGTCACCGCTTGAATACAATGGATATAATGTCATCTGCCGAACCAAAATCTCCACTGATAACGTCAATGACTGGAACTCCGTAACCGGATTTTTCTTCTTGTTTCCCAAACCTCTCCTTCTCAAAAACTTGTCATATTTTTGCCTTTATTCGTTGTTATATGGGTTAAATTTCGCCAAAAAATTCTGTATATTTTCTCTTCCCTCCCTTCTTATTTCATCCTCAAACCATCATTTTGAATCCGGGTAACAGAACCACAAATCCAAATTCTTCTGAATTCTTCTCTTTTTAAGAGTAAGATGTCACATGTATTTTTGAATATTGTTTGATTTTTATAAACAAATTTTTTTAAATCAGGAAAATATATTTTTGTTGAGTTATAATAAATTGAGAAGAGGAAATTGAGCTCATTCGGGCCGTCAAAGAGAAACGGGAAAAGAAAACGATTGGAGCTCTACAGAAACAAAGAACCTGTATTAAATGTTTTTAGAAAAAAGAAAGGAAACAGTGAAAAAGGAATGGCCGAAAGATCTAGAGAAAAGAGTGGGAAATAGAGAAATTCTTTTTAATAGATGAGCTCTTCGCGTGTCTGTGTTTCTTGTTTCCTTCGGGGATCCAAGAAATGTGGGTCATTTCCAGATGAATACGATGGAGACAGTGGTGGAGCAGCTCCGTTTGGAGCAAGACGGGCACGTGGAACTGGAAGATTTAGACGAATTAGGGCATTTCATTTGCAGAGAATCAGACAGTTAGATGGAAATAGAGTAGGAAATTGAATTTTCGAAAGTTTCATCAAACTCACGAATTTTCATGTGATTTTCGCCGATTGGAGAATGAGACAGTTAGGTACTGTCAAACCTGTAGAAGAGCTCTTGAAGAGTTCCTCTAATAGAAGTACCCTCCGCAGCGACTCCACGAAAAAAAATGTGGGCCCTTCTAATACTGGTTTTACAGTAGGAATTGATGTACCAAACTTTCCAACAAGCTAGCGCTTTTTTTCCGTTTATACATATTGTTTTCATAGATTCCGCACACGAATCGTTTCTAAAAACTCACTAGTTCCATAAGTTGGATCAAGAGCTGGAAGAGGAGAATAAATCGGATGGCCTATTCTGGGTTCATCGATTGGCAACTGTCCCATTGATCCATTTTCATAGTCTTTTGGTGCTTTTCTATTCGTATCAACTCGATATCTGTATGTGGAATTTGGAGTGTGTGGTACTGTAGTTCCAGGTGGTGGTGGGAATGGAAGTGGACTTCCAGAGTATGGAGTTGAGTAGATTGCGTCGTGGTGTCTCGGATTCAAGGTTCTGAAGACATGATGTTCTGTTTCGCATTCCTGATTTGAAAAAAGAAACTTACGATGGAGGAGTGATAACGTAAAGTGGCTCAATGGATTTGTATGTCGCTGGCTTAGTGACCTCGTACTTTTCCTGGAAGAAAATGTTTTTTTTTCCCGTTGATTTCGGTCATTTCAAAAGTGAGATTGAGCATAGAAATAGAACACCCATCACCCTTTCCAAGGCCTTTTTTAATGTGTCCTTTTCCTTCTTCATTTGATTTTAAAACCGCCATCACCTCCCAACTACTACACCTTTCCCCCTCCATATTCTTTTCTCCGACACATTTGACCCACTAAGAAACAGTTTGATTGGCTTGGGAAGAATGGAATTAAGTTTAGTTTCGGAGGAAAAATACACTGGAATGAGAAGGAAAGTGTAAAGTTTGTGGGTGTTTTTGGGAATTGCATAATAACAACAACATCCTATATATGTACTCACTTTCTTGTTTTTACGGCAACAACAGAAACATTTTGCACAGATCATTGAGAGAAGAATCGAGACCAAACAGAGCACAAGGAGCACGGCGACGATCAGACCGATGACTGGCTGAAAATGCTCAAATTTTTTTCTGAATAAGGATTTTAGAAAATATATAAAAACTTCATTTTCAGATTTTACCAGATTGTAAACTCTAACATGGGCATGAGGATTTCTGTTATTTTTCACTAATTGGAATTATAAAGAATTCCGTTGAAATTAAGCTACGTTACCGAGATTAAAGCCTGACTATATTTTATAAAATTTCAGATCTGGTCGGTAATTTCTATCTTATGTCTTAAATGGCCTAGAAAGTCATGAATCGGATAAGTCAAAACGGTTGGCCTAGGAACGTTCCATTGGGGACAACTAGGGACCTAGATAAACAGGTTTTTTTTCTGAAAAGTTTTGGACAAACTTCTGTAGATAAAAAACCAATTTTCAATTTTTTAATCAACATTTTCCAAAAAAAAACTCACGAGCCATCCAGCATACCAATTATCAATAGGTGCCTCAGAAACTTGTTTGTAGTTTGCAAGAAGATACTGTACTGCCAACGTGTCACTTTCGCTTCCTTGCTAGAAACAATTCCGTTCTTTTTGCAGTTTCCCTTCAATTCCATTTCTCTTACCTGTGCAGCCAATTTGTGGAGTTTTTGCATATCATCGTCACCCAAAAGTACAAACGAATCACCTCCACGGAATGTAGCCAACTGTAAAACGGAGATTCACTTTTAACAGAGATTCTATTTTTTGGTCTCCCCGGAAAAGAAATAAAACTTTGAAAAAGAGAACCCATCGAAGCGATTTATTCCCGTCCTTCATCACACTCATCACAAGGCTCATTTCAATTGAAATGAGCCAATGACCTCGAACAGTCCAAACAAGACAAATGGGCGTCCCTTTCTTGGGAAGAAGTATTCGTCTTTTTCTTCTTTTTGTGGCCATTCAATTCGTTTTTCTTCCTCTTCTTCTTTTTCGCCCAATTATTTACCATCAATTTATGCGCAGGCGTTGCTGCCAAAAGACAAGGAAGGTGAAACGGGTGAATAGGATAGATGGTAGTAAAGGAATGAGTCAAGATTTCAAAAATCTGGGAGAACCAAAAGAAAATTGATGGGTTGGGAGAAGGGAAACACAAGTGTGATTAAGTAACGATTTTGGACGGAAACATTTGAAACTGTTTTTGGGAAAAGAGGAGTACTGTAAGAAGAAAAGTTGGAAGATTGAAGAGTATTTAGAGCACATAACATTTCAAAGTTTAAAATTTCAAAAAGTTAAAAAATTAATTAGTTTCAGAACAATTACCTTTCATTACCGTTCATTTATATACAGAAACGTATTTTTTATAAGTTGATTTTTGGTCATTTTACCCATTTTCAGGAGTCTGGAGCTCGGCTGTCAAGATTCCGATCACTTTGAAAATTTCGGAGAGTGTGAAAAAGACCAAGATAAACTTTGCATTCGTAGATTTTTGAAAATTCCTAGTTTTTCAGTTATTTGCCGATTTCTGAAATATACCCCCTTTTGGCCATTTTAGTACTGAAATCGTAAAAAACAGGCGTCTTTCAGAAATCGGCAAATAGCTGAAAAACTACGAACTCGAAAAGTTCTGTGAATGCACAGTTTTCAATCTACTCAGGCGTCGCCGGTTACTTCTGGCCGGAGCTTGGTCAGATTCCGGCAAAGACATTGTGGGAAGCCGACCAAGATCCGACAAATTACCGACCAGATTTCGACCTCTTAACACGCAGCGTCTTCAAATTCCGGCCAAAATCTGACCATTGTCCGTCCCACTGCTGTCAGTGGGCAGCTTCTGACCAAAACCTGACCAAAACCCGTCCAAAAGCCGAACCCCCCTCAACTTCCGTCCAGAAGTTGCAAGCCGACAGCCGAGTAGGCCTGTTTTACACTTGTTGTATAACAACCTTTAATGAATTTAGCATTCCCACAAATTAGGTCATACTGGATGCCCTGATTTCCACCCAAACCCAACCCTTGGACCCTCGTTCATTTCTGATTACAAATCGATGTTCTCACCTGTTGTGTATCTTTTAAATAAACCATAACAAGTCCATGATCACACGTGGTATTACCCAATGTCGCATCGTCGTACTCCTTCTCCATGTCCCGTTTCAGATCATCTGTCTGTAATAAAATCTCCCATGTATTCGCTTTTCTGTGTTATTCCATTCATCCTAATCTCAATTTCTGATCTCATCAAAGTACCATGGGCGCGGTGTCCATTCCGATGACACCACCGCCTCTCATTTTCTCTTCTCAATCAAATAAAACCTAACCAGTTGACCTAATTTGTAACTAATATATCCGATAAAAAGCCAAATGTGATGTAGTAGTTATTCCAAATTAAAATACTTGCATTCTTAGAAGACGTGACATGAAGCAATCCAATGAATGCGTCAGTTCCATCAGCTCTCAAACATCCATCCGCGCATTCACATCTGAAATCCAAAACTATTGAAAAGAAAAAAGAGAAAAAGAAAGATCGAAATCTCGAAAGGAAGTATTCAAAACGGCGACGATCAAAAGACAAAAAAGTCGGTATCCGAAAATGGGATCTCGTGCGACGGGTACCGCAAGATTGAGTATCATTATCTTGACGGAATCTACCAAAAAAATACTTCTTTTCTTGTAATGCGCACTTTTTCGCAGGTAAAAAATTGTCTTTTTTGCGCTTCGAGATTATTGACAAGATCGATGGGTTTTTAGAGGTGTTTAGAGGAAAACTAGATGTGTCATGTTGAGTAAAGAGAATGAGAAAAGCTTCTAGAAAGTTCTGGTGCATTTCCGGATAGACATTAATATCTTCAGTCATAATTTAGTTCTTGTATATAGCATTAAATGGGCTCGTAACTAGCCGATTCGGAAAAAAAAACCAAGAAAAGTCAAAACTAGAAATCTACAGATTGATACGAAAAGAAAAAAAATACTAATTGAAAGAAGCCGCTCTACCATAAATTCTAAATGTTTTGCACTTTGAGCTCAAATATCTCGGTTCCTTCGAATGATATAAAACATGTGTCAACTGATAAGATGTTTTTCATGATATTATCAACATTTTATCAGCTGACAAAATTTTGATATGTTTTGAGGGAACCTAGGTAATTGAGCTAAAAAATAGGGTCCTTTTTTTCAATTTGAGTATTTTTAGAAAAAATTGACTTATTCAGTCTGATAATTTTGAAGACAACTGGACAATTTTCAAATCCGACCTTTGATGAAATTTTGTTTATGGTTTCCCGGGCATCAAATTTCGGTATTCTCCACTACAGTGATATTTTCCGAGGCTTGTATGATAAATATAATTTTAATTAATTCTGTATATCCAGCAATGCCTCAAAGGTTTTTATTTCATTCATCACAAAGACAGCTCCATAAACTTTACACAAAGACGCAATAAGTTTGTGTTTTCTTATACTCTTTTTCTTTTTTTTTCCCAATAGTTCCTCCCCTAAAATGATCCCATAGACCTATATTCTATTGCATCTTCTCTCTCTCTTCTCTGCGGCCCTAATAGCTTGAATATGATTCTCTCTTTGCCCCCGTCTCAAGGTCTTTGCTTCCTCATCCTATTACACGATAAAAAAAGTGAGAGACTATAAAATTTAGGCGTAAAACAATTCAGGCGCCTCAAAGCGTAATGAACAATATCTATTGTTCTTGTAATACGAATCCTAAATTATAAAAAAAACCAACCCAATTCGATCTTTGAGTCCTGCCAAAATATCAGTCAGCTTCTTCTTCGTCGTGGCAGCCAACCGTCCATGAACATCACAAACGAACGTCTTCCGACCATATCCAGATTCTGATTTGCATTGCTCAGTTTCCTCTTCGAATACGGTACTGTTTACCTGAACACTCGGTTATTCTTGGTTTAGAATCTGACTTTTTTTCTTTTCCTTTTTTTTCTTTTTTCTTATCAATAAATGGACAACAAAAGAATCTGCGTTCAGAGGAAATGAGACAAAAAGTGCTTTTGTTCGAGTGAAAGAATTGAATGAAAAAAGTGGAAGAAGACAACTATCGAACGGGAATTAGTTGATGTGAAACAGCAGGAGAAGAAGAAACATCAACTGGTCTTGTAGTATAATCACAATGGGATAAAAAAAAGTATTGTATCGGTCATTTGAAAGATTTGACGGTCTTCGAAAATTTGGAATACCAGGAAATTTAAGAAATTTATATCAAGGGGATTTCGGGATTTGTAGCAATTAAATTAGCAGACAATTTTACAGACTTTTTTGGAGATTTAAAGGGTGGCGCATAATTACTCAGATGAAAGTTTGTACTAGACTAAAACTTGAGTAAAGTGTTGTGCTGAGTTCAAATTTGAAGTCCAAAAATTCAAATAATTCATCAGTAAACTGGTTAAGTTCGCAAGCCGTTCATCTTTGGACAATCATAACAATGCCTACACTTGATGAACCGCTTTTAAAATTTCAGTAGCTTCGAATCAAACGTAAAATTATATTTCTACCTATTTTCGTGCTTCCAAAATACTTATATTAGGTTGGCGGGAAAGTCTTTGTCACTCTGTTTGTTTAATCACTGTTCTCGTATATGGAGGCTGTGTATGATATCGACTCTAGTGAATAACAAGGTGATAAGAACCTTCCATATAAACAAGTCCCCATTTCCTTCCCTGCTCCTCATCTGTAATTGAAACGATATGTTTGTTCCCACTGCTATTCACATCAGACATGTTTTGATTTACCTCTTCCTATCTCACACCACGATGAAGGATTCGGAAACTTTCTTGAAGAATGTGTACAACACACATGCCCCTCACTACAATACTATTCGCAATTGGTTCCATCGTTTCGAAAAAGATGACTTCTCGCTCGATGAAAAGGATCGCTCTGGGAGACCCCGTGAGTTGGATTTGGACAAGCTGAAGCACGCATTGCAATCGGATCCATTTCAATCTAGCCGTGAACTAGCTGTCACATTCGGAGTTCACCATAGCACAGTCCTTGAAGGTTTGAAGTCTCTTGGAATGAGAAAACTTTTTGGTCGATTCATACGTCATCACCTGACTCAAGCCAACCTTGACCGCCGAGTCGACGATTCGATTACTCTTCTCACTCTCCACGCGGGCGATCGATGGCTGGACCGGCTAATAACCGGAGATGAGAAGTGGGTCTTCTACGATAATCACCACAGGAAATCCCAGTGGGTTGGAGAAGGAGAGAGCCCACAGGATGTCCCCAAACCCGACCTTATCCGAAAAAAGTTATGCTCTCTGTGTGGTGGGGAGTGGACGGCCCCATCTACTGGGAACTTCTGCCCGAGGGCAAAACAATAACTGGAGACCTCTACACTACTCAACTACGAAACCTCAAGAAAGCAGTCGACCGTTCGGCCCTGAAAGACAAGAAAGTGTACTATCAACATGATAACGCTCGCCCACATGTTTCGAAACAAGTGAAGCAGGAGCTGATGGGATATGGATGGAATGTTCTCCCTCACCCCCCGTATTCTCCTGATCTTGCTCCTTCCGACTATTGGTTATTTGGCGATATGACACGTGCCTTCGAAGGAAGAAGCTTCAATTCCCGTGGAGCGGTCGAAGCGGCACTCAAACAATACTTTGCCTCACGCCCGGCTGGATTCTACCGCAATGGAATCCATAAATTGAGGGAACGTTGGAGACATGTTGTTGATAATGATGGACAATATAATTAATTATTCGGTTATTTTTTCTTTGAGAAATAAACTATTGAAAAAGTGACAAAGACTTTCCCGCCAACCTAATATCCAAAGATTATACCATTTTATCATAATTGTGAGCCACCTCGTAATACGGAATCTAATGAAAACTCCGATAATTGGTTAACTAGGGAATGGTGCGAATAGGTCATGGAGTTATGGCACATGACCTATATCATTGGAAAGAGGAAAAAAAGTTATGTACAATTATGGAAGCAAAACTTGCTGTGCGTAAGACAGCTTGGAGTAAATTAGGTCTAAGGCTCTGGATTCACTACTTTTTTCTATTTCAAAAGAAATTTCAATAGAAGTTTCATAGAAGTTTTTTATAGAAGTTTTTTTTTTTCTGCAGATCACGGGAACACTATATGAATGAATCTAAAATCTCTATTGAAATTGAGGAATGCAATGATAAACCTAGTGCTTTAGACCTAATTTTTTCCGAGATGTTAAACGCACAGCAAATTCTGAAATCATATTTGTAAAAAAATTTTGCTCAGGTTTCCCATGATATAGGTTACAAAAGAAGCTAGAGCAAAAATCTCGAGCTTAATTTTTTTTTCTAAAAATCGGAGCAGGAGAACTGCAAAAAAAGAACTTTAAGGTCGAAAATCTTTTGAATGTCTTCACTGAAAGATTTTTGGTTCTACTTCTATTAAAACTAGGTCCATCTTCATTTTCCTCATTCCTCAACAGTCATCAATTTCGAATCCATCAAATGTCTTCCAATTTTCGAATTGGTGATAATTGAAACGAAAACCGTTCGGAGATTGTTTTATCATCTCTTCTAGAATATACATATTATCACAAAATCTCTTTTCATCTGCCATCACACAGACTTTCGATTTCACAAAACACAGACATATGACCCCATCTAAATAGCATCATAAACACTTTTTCAAAAAATATCCTGTTTTACCCTCCGACCGCAATTTCCGCCTCTTTTTTTGGAATTTTCAAAAAGTGAGAATGTTCTAAAAAATCATCATCATGTTGTTAATTGGCAAAAATACTTCAAGTTGTTTCCTCTTCTCTTTACTCTCAAGTACTCAAATAACAATCAAAAATTGGAAAGAATCGGACAGGTACTACACAACCCGAATATTACCTAAATCCGTCGTGTTTTTGCGAGTAGTGAATAGAATCATTGGCACGAATCATTTTGACGGAAAGAAAAGTAAAAATGAAAAATGACCAAAAACGAACCTGTTCAATGAAAACGAATAAAAGTAAGCAAAGTATTGAAGCAACAGCAGATGACGACTTCATTTTTGTTTGTAATCTCTGTTTGTTAACACATGCGAAACCGTCGAAGCAATACGAAGAGATGAAGATGAAGAAGAAGGGGACGAAGAAGTAGTTGTGGCAGAATCAGTAGTAATAGCTAAGACTCCACCCATTTGTCGAAATCAAGGTTAGAAATAAACAGATGAAGAGACGTAGAGAAGCAGATGGAGGGGCAGTCAACAGATGGTTGAATAGACATACAGGCAGAATAGAGAGGTGAGAGGAGACGGTGTTTTTGAATCCGAAAAAATGGGTAATTGAATAGAGAGGCGGAATGAATCAAGGATTCATTTGGGGTGATTTTCGGAGAATTTAAAGAAAGTTTAAGGAGCACCATCTGGAAATTTCAGATTCATAGAATTAGGGATTTTCTAGATCGTTGGAAATCCCAAGAAATTTTAGGAATTTGCTCTAGCAGGATTCTAAGAGTTACCATTCCGAAAATCATTGGCTTTTAGCTTCAGACCAAAAAAGTGGGTTAGCTTTTGAGGGTTTCCGGTACTGCAATCATCCTTCAGATTTTGCAAATGAAAGGTTCGGAAGGTCTCAAAATCGTGAGGGACATGAAAAAGGTAGGGTGGACGCGTATCGAAGGTGCGCCGCCGCTACCGACTGAGCCCCGCATGCGAAGCAAGAACAGCAGCCCGATGGCATACATAAAAAGCGAGCATGAAAACTGTACTTGAACACTAAGCATTCTAAACGTTAGAATGCATACCTTATCTAAAGAAACTCCGAATAATTTCCTGTCATTTTGGTTTTCAGAGCTATGGAATCAGCTGAAGCATAGGTTTGTTTAAAATCCGAAAACTGGAAACTAAAAACTCTTTTCAATTTCCTTCGATTCCTTTTACAATTTCCTTACGAACCACACCTTTCCATCATCATCCATATTTCACCCATAAGGTTGGCAACATGCCAAGTACATCTGACGAATGTCTTCTGGAGAAGGTCATCTGGATGACGCATCCTTCTTTAGTTCAATTCGAAGAAATTAAGAAATCAAATGAATTTTAACGCACAAACGAAGAGACAGAAACCGCAATTCGAACGGAATACTGTAAAACGGTAAAAAATTGGGAGAAAAAGGGACAGTTTGATGTGGAAGTCAAATTTTCGGTGTTCAGACTGTCAGAATGTCCTTTCTGCAGATAGTTTTAATGTGATTGAATTTGAATTCACTGGAGGGCGCAACAAAAATTTGTTTGTAACGGAATTGCAAAATTGGAAAATCCAACCAATGTCTCGGTTTCAAAGTGTTCTAAGGGGTAAGGGAATTTCGGAAGAAAGAAAAACTTTGAAGTAAATTCCAAAATTAGAGTTTCCGTTGAAATTATAATATATTTTTCAACTGAAAGTTTCAATCAGTTTAAAAATTATTTTCATACTACGAGATCGGTGTCTAATAGTGTGTCATCCCGCCAGGCTCAAGGTAAGCAAATTTTAGAGGACTCATCAGTCAATTTCGCAAATCTCAGCTACATACATATACAGAGCCGAAGACTTCAATGTTTAATTCCCAATTTAACGTTTTTTGAAAATTTCAGATATTCTGGTGTCAGACTAAACATTGATGCGGCTATCGGATATATTGACAGATTTGAACTTATGTAAAAAACTTTAGTAAACTTTAGCAAGTTAATACTATTTCAGAGACCATAATTCTGTGGAATAACTCATTTTCCCCTTCGTCTTCAAATTGATTCGTTCTGACTGCCTTCCTTTTCCAACGCCTCCTTCTTCCATGAGTTGGTGACAAGTCCATTGGTCCATGATGTTCAGAAGTGCTCATTGAAACGACCTTCTTCTTCTATTTTTCATTCAAAAAAGAATCTTGTTTCATTTGAGAACAAGAAGAATGAAGAAGGAAACAACGAAGAAACAGAAGACACGAAAACTCCGGACACTCATACATTTTTAACATCATCTGAAACCCCGGGCACATATAAAAAAGAAGGGAAGAGAAAAGGAAATAAAAAAAAGGAAAAATTCTAGACGCCCCCACCAACAAATTTTGAGGGGGGATATTTTTATTCGATTCGGTTCACTTCATACTATTTCACACCTTCTGCCTCTCCAAAATAGCAATTTTTGAGGGTGTGTTCCATTAGTTTTGTGGCATTTCAAGTGTAAAGAGCATTTCCTTGAGAAGCTTTTTCTTGCTTTTTTTGTTATTGAGTAATTATTCAAAAAATAAGAAAAGGGTAAAATGTTCTTATTTAAGAAAGTAAAATTGTAATCCCGGAATCTGAAATTCATGATAAATATACAGTGCCTGTCAATAAATTATTTTTTTAAAAACCTATTTTCAGTTGATTTTCGGCCATTTTTGATCATTTTCAGGAGTCTCGAACTCGACTTTCAAGTTCCCTCTCATTTTGAAACCTTTGGTGGATAAAAACAAATCTACATATATTATAAACTTTGCATTCACAGAATTTTTTAAAATTTTCTAGTTTTTCAACTATTCACAGATTACTCGAAGACACCGGTTTTTTCAGTTTTTCAGTACAAAAAATTCCAAAAGGGCGTCTTTCAGAAATCAGAAAACAGCTGAAAAAAGAAACGAAAATTTCAAAAAGTTCTGTGAATGCAAATCTTTCAATCTAGGTCTGTTTTACACTCTCCAAATTTTCCAAAGTTATCGGAAACTTGACGAGCTCAAGACTCCTAAAAATGGTCAAAATGGCCGAATATCAACTGAAGAACGCAAAATCAACCGAAAAATCTTATAATTTTAGGATTTCCGGAGAGAAAAGCTCCGATTCTAAGATAAAATAAATGTCTTCCGAAGTAAATACAATTTTAGAAATATAGATCTATCGAAAAACAGTCAGTGTCTCAAAAACACCTGCGTAATATCAAAAGAAGAATTTCTCATTTTTCCAAATATTAGAGCTCTAGGATTCCTAAATTGAATCACTCTATTGGAGTTCTGAATCATATTTTGAGTTCTCTTTTGTTGACAATTTCGAGAATTCGTTTCTTAAAATTTAAATCCGGTGCGGCTCTGAACTCAACGTCTCTTAAAAACCTAAAACTTTCATCCTGAATAAAATAAGAGCTTTTGGTGAGCTGTTCTCGACATTATCCTTATCTTATCATTCTACTAATCCCTGCTCTCCCCTCTCGTCGAATCCCAGAATTTTCAGCCGAAACTGAAACGAAATATCCGATTTTCTTTTTTTCTTGTATCTTTTCACCTGAATATATATTTTTCAGCATTTCAATTATTAGTTCATTTAAAGAGTTTTTTTTAAATGAAGTTTCATGTTTGGTTAAGCAACTTAAAGAAATAGGAATTAACTTTTTTCCAGGTTTTTTGAAAGATTTATTTAAAGTTGGTGTGAGCAGAAAAACAATTTAACGGAGGGATAAAACCAAAATTAATATTAAAATAAGTTAGATTTTTCTATGAATAACAATTTTCAATCAATTCGTATTTCTTTTTTGTTATTTTCTGATTATTTCCACCTGTGGTTCTATTGGATTTTCAGCTCTTTCTTCTCACATCTACCAATGGATTTCTTAATCAAATCTGATATCCAGAACGTTTTATCTCTTCTTTGCATAATCTTTTATCCTTTACGCAACTCCAAATCTTCTTCATTTCTTTTTGCTCCTCTTGTTCTTTTTTTCCACAAGAGCATCATTTTGTAATGCTCGGTGAGCTCGAAGCTCCCGACCGACACTCGGCCGTCGTCGGCGGAGAATAATTAGAAAACGTGTCTTCTCTCGGGGCGAGAACTGAAATTAGTAGTCGTCGTCGTCCCATCAGAAGAAGAAAGAAGAAGACAACAACCCGATTGTTGTGTGTGTGTCTTTTTCTTCTTCTTCCTGGGAGGAGGAGACTAGTTTCAGAATGATTATGCGATGCTCAATGATCTTTTCAAATTTTGATGCTGATGATTTCGTATGGAATATCTTCACAACCCACCAACTAACCTGTTTTGCTTCTTTCTTCTGCACCATTAGCAAAAATAGAATTTCGTAGCTACTAGAGTCTAGCAGAATTCAAAATATTTGATCCATATCGTCTAGGGGACTCTCTAAATTTCTCTATTTTTTCAAAAGACAAAAGTACAAAATCTGGCAAATCTCTGCTTCTATATTTGGATGTATCATCAAAAAAAAATAATCAGAAAACTCTTTTAAAACCTCTCAAAACTCATGTTTCTCTCGTTTTGAAAGGGTTCTGATTTGACAAATTTCCCTCTGTGATAAATCTAACGAAAACAAGTTTTCAGACTACTTTGAGTTTGAAAAGATTTTCAAAATGATCTTATGGAATATATAGATTAGGGCTTCTAGAGAAAAGTGTTCCTCCAAGTCTAGCCACCCACAGATTTTCAAAGGGATTCCAAGGTTTGTAAGGATTTTTTGAAATGATTATTTCTAGCTTTTATTGGGTATTATAGTGTTATATAAGCTGAAAATACTGGCAGTTTTATTTTTAAATGAAATCAGATAGCTGTTTTTATAAAATGTGATATTCTGGGATTGCAGTTTAAAAAACTTTTTGACCCTAACTTCTACTTCTTATCGTAAAAGCTTTAATAGCCATCGCCCCCCCCCCCCCTCTAACATTCCACTTTGAGCCAATTTTTCACCGTTCTTGTCAAAGATATACGAAAAGTTGTCAACTGATAAATTCTTCATCCCAATATCACTAATACTTTTTCAGTTGACACATCCTTGATATCTCTTATAATATACAATAATTTATTGATCAGAAGAAAATATGGAACAAAAGTTATAACGGGGGTTCTAGATCTTAAAGGAATTGAATTGATTGAGCTCACGTTCTTTTTGGAGGTTTCATCTTCCTAAAATTTGCATATTTTTCCATTATTCCTTCCTTTTTTGCTTCCTCTGAAAAATTTCTATTCCTTCAAATCTAAAAAAAGGTTTTTTTTTAATACCAAAAAAAGAGTAAATTATTCTCTTGATTTCCAGTCGACCAACAATCAAAAGTTCCAATT